AAGAATGGTCTGGGACCAGCAGTTGGCATAATGACTATATACTGGACGCCCATGTAGTTGACCACAGTTTGAGTCTCGGACCCAGTGGCTTAAACTCACGCCGGGCATGTGTGCGTGCATGCCCAAGATCCTGAGAGGAGAATGGAGGAGAAGGGATTGTGGCATGGCCATCCCTCCTGGGGGGTGATTTCTCACTTTCTGTCTCCCTGTCTCTCTTTGCCTTTCTGGTGAGCACACGCACCCTATAGCAAAAACCTCTCCAAAAAATAAAGATCTCAGTCTAAACTCCTCCAATTTGCTTCACCCACCCCATTTAGAGGAACTTGGCACACAGAATCCACCCTCCTGAAAAGGTTCTGAGAAGTACAGATAATACAATACTGGTTTTCCATCACACTAGGTTGCTAGAAAGGCTTCTTCCTGAAAGTCATCCTCAGTCACCTGGTTAAGTCTTTGGAGTCTGGACCCACACTAACTCTGTAAGTATGTGACCTTGAGCAAGTTACTTTCTGGACCTCACTGTCCTCCTCTGGAAGATAGAGTACTAACATCTTGGGATTGTTTGTGACAGTTCAATGAGGTAATAAATGTCAGTGTGCACGTAGTGACTGCTCAGTCACCACTGGCTGTGAGTAATTCTACCAGCTGTGTTTCGAGCTGATCAAAGGTGTGGCTAGTGCAGCCCCAATGACACATAGAGGGTCGGAGTTGCCTGTCGATCTATTGGAAGCATTCTAGACCACTCCACGTGTTCCCTCAACCGTCCCAGCAGGGAGCAAAGACCAGGCAGGAGAAAAAACAGACCTATCACAGGCTTCTGAGAGTCTCAGGTGTTTCCAGAAGGTCACACTAGAAGCACGGTTGGTCAGAAGTCACTTTCAGGGTACGAACAGATGTTTTGCCACCCCCAAAATACTTCCTCCTGCTTTAGTCACCCTTGAAAGCAGAAGTAGCTCAGGCCTGAGCTGAGCAGGATGGGGAGGAAACTACTAATTTCTGGAGTAGGACAAGAAGGAAGTTGCACTAGAAAAATCATCAACACTTTCAGGTGAATTATTTTGCTTCTGAAGTGAGAGGAGTGAATACAAATGTCAAAGGACCACAGTGTCCCCCCAGCTCCACAGAACAGACCACTTCTGGACAGTGGGTCAAATATGTCCTAAGATATGTGACCCTGTCCAACCGCTAAGAGGTTGAGCAGGCTCTTAAGATATGTGACCCTGTCCAACCGCTAAGAGGTTGAGCAGGCCCAGGAGCTATTGAATGTGTTTCGTATCCCCTGGTACTGACTATACAAGCGGTATCGTGACTGTTCTAAAGAAAACAGCGCACAGTCCCGCCACCATATATATCAGCTCTCCGCACTAACTCCCCAGCCTCACTCCCATGCAAATGTATTTTGCCAACTTGTCATGATGGCTTAATTCTGTATCGTGACTTTGTCATATATCATTTTAGCACACATAGGTTTATAGGACTATAATTATCATTTTTTCTCTCTTTTTTTTTTTTTTGAAGAGGTTTTTGCTATAGGGCGCGTGCGCTCACCAGAGAGACAGAGATAGAGAGACAGAAAGCGAGAGATCACCCCCCAGGGGGGATGGCCACGCCACAATCCCTTCTCCTCCATTCTCCTCTAGGGATCTTGGGCACACATGCACGTGTGCCCAGCGTGAGTTTTAAGCCACCGGGTCCGGGACACGAACCACAGTCGACTACGTGGGAGTCCAGCGACACAGCCATTACGCTAACTGCTGGTCCCCAGGACTATAATTATCATTTTAATGGGAATAAAATATTCCATTGAGAAATTGAAGTCTTTTACTATTTCAAGCCATATTACATTAAGTCGTTTTCTACATTATAGCTTTTTACTTCTTTGGAGTTCTTTCCTCTGGGTTTTTTTCATTGTTGCTGTTAATTTTATTTATTTCTTCCATGAGCAGGAGAAACCGAGAGAGAGAGAGACAAAAACATAGACAGAGAGGCAGCATCCCCAACAGGGTTTTTTGGGGTTTTTTTCCCATTTGATTAAAACACTGAGTTTATTTCACATGTATATTTTTGTCTCCCCACCATTTCCATGTCTGACCACCATTACTCCTGGGTCCTATCATAATATTCCATACATACTTAAAACCAAGCAAAGGGTGGAGTTCCATCTTCAAAACTTTCTTAATTTATTTCTTCTCACTTGTGTTGTCTCCAAGGTTACATTTTTTTATTAAAATACTGAGTTTACTTCACGTGTATATTTTTTGTCTCCCAACCATTTCCATGTCTGACCACCACTACTACTGTGTCCTATTATAACATTCCATACATACTTAAAACCAAGCAAAGGGTGGAGTTCCATCTTTAAAAACTAAACAGCCATTTTGGACAACACATTCTTGGCAATAGAACCTGGATAGCATTTATCAAACACGATAGGGAAAGTTCTCACTCTGCATTATAAAAAGGACAGCCAGATATCAACTGTTACAAATAAGATGGAAAATTTTAACAAACTGTTTAAACTATTTTCTTAAAGTGACTTCCTCCACTGCCAGAGATCTTGAATAACCTCCTGATCAGTCATCCAGAAGCAATTCTTAATATAATTGATGAACTTGGCTTCCACTTTGGGAAGAGAATCACCTTTTTCTATATTTGCTTGCATTTTTGCTTTAATGTCTTCTACAGAACTAGGTCCTTTTGGTGTTTTAATGTTTTTTTCCTGTTTTTTGAATGATTCTTGACCTTTCGATCTTGGGGTTGATGGTTTTGAGTCTTTTCCGTTCTGGTTTGATTTTTGAGCGTTTTTGCCAGGAGTATCTCGTATAGATTTCTTCACTGGAGGTTTTTCTTCTGTTTCCTCATCTTCAAAATCATCATCATCATCTTCCTCAGCAGCAAGTTTTACTTTTTTCTGTGGAACCTTGCTTCCACCTCCAGGGGCAGATCGCTTTCCAGATATAATTAAGAGTTTCACGTCCTCTTTGTCTTCTTCTTCTGACTCTGCATCTTCCTCCACAGCTACTAAGTGCTGTCCACTACTATGCACAGGCCCTGAACCACACCTCAACCTTAAGACCACAGGTGGTGTTATTTCAAAGCCCCCAAGGAAAACCGTTGGCTGTGCAGACGTTTTCGGTGTTGCCAGTGTTACTTTCATTGGACTGCCTTCATAATTCATTGCCTCTGCTTCAACAGTGTGCAATTCATCCTTCGCACCAGCCCCTAAACTGACCGTTCTTAAAGATAATTGGTGTTCGTTTTCATCGTTATCCACTTTAAAGTGATCATCTTTGTCGGCCTTTAGTTCACAACCGAAAAGATAGTTCTGGGGCCTCAGGGGGCTCATGTCCATGTCAAATCTTCCATGAGGTGGTGGCACACACTTGGGTGGGCGAGAAGGTGGATGGAGATAAACGACTACGGCTCCCGAAAACAGCCGCGCAGGACAGAATCACTCCAGGGACCCCAACAGGGTTTTGATGCCACAACCCATCCCCAGCCTCAGTCAGCCCCAAATTATGGGCAGGTGCATGCCCAGTGTACTCAGGGAGGTCTCCAGATGCAAACTCAGAACCTTTTCATGTGAGGGTGCCTCACAGAACATCACGTTGTACTGCAGTGCCACTGTGCAGCCCCATGGATGTTATTTTTTTAAGAATTATTTTATTTAACTTTATTTATTTACTTATTTAAATTTGACCAAGAGAGGGACAGAGCGTGAGAGAGAGAAAGAGAGGGAAAGTGAGAAAGCAAGCCGCCAGGTCAGGGACTTGAACCGTGGCCCGTCATGTGGGAGTCCATCACCCTTAACCACCACGCCACCTGCTGGCCCACTATGGATGTTATTTTTAAGAAGAAATGACTGGGGCAAATTGGAGACCCTTCATACCACTGCCAAGTGACTTTCCAAATGGGTTGTGCAACATGCATTCTATTTTTAGCCCATTTATAGAGTGCGTTATCGTTTCATAATTTCTGCGGGTCTTCTCACAATTTTTAATTCATGTTGGTAGACTCAAAGGACCACAGTCAGTCAGAGGTTTCGTTGTTTCCACACAGAGGAGAGAGGAGTGTTCGTACACCTGAAGTTCCTCCATCTGTTTGGACCCTTGCACCCCCACGAGGCAGTGTGAAGGGTGAAGCAGCTTGTAAGATGACAACAAAATGCCTCTAATTTCCCAACAATCCAATACAAAATATTTTGTTCTGGGGGCTGGCAGGCGGTGTGGTGGTTAAAGTGCTGGACTCCCACGTGGCTGACCATGGCTCAAGTTCCAGACCTGGTGGTTTGCTTTCTCACTTTCTCTCTTTCTCTGTCTCTCTCTGGTCAATTTTTCAAAAACAAATAAATATTTCTTTTTAAAAAAATAATAAAATCAAGTATTTTGTTCTGTAGTCAAAATATGAGTGGACTTCAAAAAGTTCATGCAAGGGACTAGCAGATGGCGTGATGGTTAGGTTGCTGGACTCCCACATAGTTGACCATGGTTCGAGTCCTGGATCTGGTGACTTAAAACTCACGGGGCCAATAGGTGGCATGGTGGTTAAGGGTGCTGGACTCCCACATGGCCGACCACCATTTGAGTTTCAGACTTGATGGCTTGCTTTCTCACTTTCCCTCTGTCTCTCTCTTTCATTCTATCCCTCTCTGGTCAAATTAAAATAAATAAAAATAAATAAGTAAATGAAGTTAAATAAATAATTCTTAAAAAAAAAAATAAAAGTTCATGGAAATACCAGCCACAGTGGTGCTGTGATAACACCACATTTTGTGATGCTGAAGCCATATGGGGAGGTCCCAGAATCGTGTCCTGGAATCTCTCTGTTCACGCCAGATACATATGTGTGTATGATCCTGGCTGGGTGAGGCTGGAAGTGGATGGTGGTGTGGGGACCCTGTTGGGAGTACTTATCTCTCTCCCTTTCTCTCTCCCTCCCCACGCCTCTGTCTCATGGAAGAAATAGATAAATAAACATTTTAAAATAACAATGGAAACTCATCCAAAAAAGTCATTAGAAAAATGGAATTCAAATATGAATTTATCTTGGTGCAAACATTTTTTTAAATCCATCCTTAGTCCACTACTGCATTGCTAACAGAAATAACCAAAATTGGGTGATTTCTATAAAGAAACAGAGATTTATTCAACTCATAGTTTGGGAGTCCAGGGGCCAGGGACCAAATTCTGATGAAGTGACAACAGAGCAGAGGATCTTGAGCTGAGAAGCTGTCCATAGCTTCTGCCTGTTCTGGTTTCCTTCTGCTCTTAGAAAATCAGCAGAAGTCAATCAAAGGTCAGTACCCTAATGACCTCATCACACCCAAGGCCCCACCCTGGGACGCCATAAAGGGATCATGTTTTCACTCAACACCTTTACAATACAGCCAAGCCTCAACACATGAATTTCTGGGGAACACCGAAACCATAGCATCCATCCATAGTTTCTTCATTGTACATATTTTCTGTTAACTTCTTGAAGACCCCTCTTATATCCCCAGTTTGTGGCTAAATAAAGAAAAGAATCAACAAGAAAAAGCACTCCCATTAGATTCATCTTTACACTCTCTTAGAAGGAGCATCAATCAGTAGAAAGCAAACTGGGTACAGAACTTCTCTGTGGGGACCCAAACAAAAATGTGCAAGGTCTGAGTTAGCGCACCTGGAGGGCACCCAGCATCCTGGTAATGAGCATCACAGTGCACCAGAGCCCAGACACCGGGCCCACCTTCTCCTAGCTGTGTGACTTCAGACCAGTTAATGCACCTCTCTGAGTCTCCTTTTCCTCCTCATGTACTCATGAGGCATACTATTACCCATAGTAGACATCTGTTGCCCTCAGGTCACTCAGCATCCGTTCCTCCCTTCTTTTCCTAGCAGCATGCAATTTCCTTTGGCCATTTCCCTCTCCACGTTTACATGCAGTCCATGTACATCAAGGTATCTTGCCCTCCCTTAACCAATTGAGCAGCCTTTGAACCAAAGCAAGGCCAAGTGAACTCTATTTTTTTTTTTTTTGGAGA